ACTGGAGTGTATGGTGCATTCTACTTTCTGGTACGGTAGGTTGTTTTGTGCGAGTGTTTTTTGTATTTGTTTTGTGTCTGTACTAGAGTGTATGCTTTTCATTACGAATGCTATTGAGTCCGGTTTGTCATCAGGTATGTATATTGATATTTGGCCCGGTTTAAAGACATCTTCTGGCCACTGTGTAAGAAGACTGTGGAAATGAGCTGCTTCTGTTCCTTTTACCAAGATTCCACAGTTTGATGTTTGTTATTTTGACTTCTGGTTTGCAGTGTTCTACTCCTGCTGCGGCTATGTATATATATAATGATGGAGTTCTTGGGTGGCTGTGTGTATCTACTTTTCCTTAATTCTTCTGATTGAGTGTTAGTGTTTCGCATATTTATTCTTTCAGTCAATTTTATTTTTTCTTCGGGATGGCTAGGACAAATCCATCATAGTCCATGTGTGTGTGTCTTTCATTTCTTGTGTCTGTGTTTCTGTATCCATGTCTAATGGTGTTTTTGTTGTTTCTTGTACTTGTGTTGTGTGTATGTGTAAGCGTCTATTGTGCTTACTGCTTGTGTGTCCTCCGATGTAGGTTTTCCGTATCTATTTGCTTCCTAGTATTGTTTATTTTATCAGCATTTACGTGCATTTTCGAAAGTTGTGAATTGTTATTCAGTTCTTTGCATATTTTTGTTTTCTTCTTGATATTAATGTATTTTTGTTGAGCTACTAGTACTAATTAGTTTAATTCAAGACTTAGTCGTAGTTTATTGTCTTTGTTTAGGGGTTTGTTAAGGCCATCTAAACTATATTTACTTGTATTCCTCTTCGAGGAAGAGGCCATCTTTTCAACATATACATTGTTGTTTCGTCTACAACCGTCCGTGAAGTTTTCTTGTGTGTTACTCACTGTTTTGTTCTTGTTGTTGCTAGAAGTCTTATTTGAAATTGAAAGAGTGAAAGTTGCTTCCTTTACCGCCCAGGGATGATCAGGGGCTCGACACTGTTTCTCCGTCGTCCGGCTATACAGTTCAAGTTTAACCAGTTCGCCATCAAACGGAAGTGCGTGATGTGTTTTCGTTCCTTTAATTAAATGAATTCGTTAGTCACTACCGGTTTTTAGAGGGCGTAGAGTAAATACGTCTTTATTCTTCGCTGGAATTTGTTTTGAATTTCGCACAAAGCCACCCGACGACTATCTGCGCCAGCAGTCCCTAATTTAGCAAGTGATAGACTAGAAGGAAGGCAGCTAGTCAACACCACCCACCGTTAATTCTTGGACTACTCTTTAACTGACGAAGAGTGAGATTGACCGTCACATTATACCGCCCCCACGGCTGAAAGGGCGAGCATGTTTGGTGACGAAGATTCGAACCCTCGACCCAATAATATTTAGAGTCGAGCGCGTTAACCACTTGGCCATAACAGGCCCCTCACTGATGAGATCTTTTTAGTGGAAGCTGAAAAAAATTCTGTCATAAAAAAACTAATTATTATTTTATCGTTCAAGTAATGTTGAGTTCTGTTGTTCTGGTAAACCTGAGTCGTTCTTGGATATCGAGAATTGTAAGTTAAATTATTTGTTTTGAGTATCTGGAAAAAATGAAGCTTCATTAATAACACAGACCTGCGAATTTAAACTTCATAAAAGTTGTTTTGGTTTTGATAAAGATTTTTCCGTAATTCAGTTATACACATTTCGAAAATAATATTATTTTTTTATAAATCGGGAAGAAAAAAAAACTCTTACTTGGACAAAATTATTATTTCTTTTACCACAATGAACCAAATAAAAGGATAACTTAAGTATATATATGATAAAGTTTTACAATTAAAAAATTAATTACCAAAAACACTTAATCTTATACTTAAGGTGCTCGACGCACAATCTGCAGATCTTGTGTTCGAATTCTGTCACCGTACATCCTCGCCGTATCAATCGTGAGACCGTTATAAAGTGACGGTCAGTTCCGCATTTCTTTGTTATAGCCCAATTGGTGATAAGTGTTGTTGTTGACTAGATGCTTTTCCTTTAGCCTGTCATTTCTAAATTACGAATGGCTAGCGGTCTCAAATAGTTTACGTGAAATTAAGGAAACAATTACATAAATAAATTCCTTTGTATACGCAAATAGGCTTATTTACGTAGTAATACTAGATTCTTTATTTTCACATATATTTCAGTTTGAACCACATCATAACATTGATCTATAAGTTATTAAGTGTTTTCTAAAATATTCAAAAATACTTCAAGGTGGGTGGGGAATTTCATTTATTCTCATAGAATATATATGTATCGAACACTTTCTCCAATATACATTTACTACCATTCTCTCGTGGAATTTTGTACTTAAGAGATTTTAAGTGTACACACTGAACTGTATTGTAAGATACAACAAGACTCTAGTGTTCTTTCTATCAGGAGGAAAATTGAAGTGGACACTAAGGTTAAGAAGTTAGGATTCTTGGAAGCCGTTGTCCGTGTTCATTTATTTTGCATCGAATAGATAAGTGTTGATAATGGAATTAAAGGCAAATAAAGATCACGACCTAAGAAATTTGTAAAATATGTCTATTAATACACGTGGTATATCGAATTTAAATTTTTCTTTCTTTTTGGGCATAATTGGTTGTTGTTGTTTTTTGTAATTTACTCGTATTTTTGTTTAAGTTCTAATGTTTTAGCTTCTTGAATAATATTTCTCGACCACTCGAAGAGGCCCACCAAGTGGCACAGCGGTATGTCTGTGGAATTACAGCACTAGAATCCGGGTTTCGATACCTGTGGTGGGCAGAGCACAGATAGCCCATTGTGTTGCTTTGTTCTTAATTACAAACAACAACACTCGAAGAGTTTAGTCGCTGAATGGTAAACTTGAATCGCGCAGACAGTCCATTGGACAACTTTACGCTAAAACCAAGCAAACAAATCTACCAGTAAACTGATAATAAAAACATAGTTGAGATGTTGAAAATGCAGATTGTACTACTTCGTAGAGGTTAATGGAGAAGTGGACTTTTCGATTAGCGTATAAAACCTGGGGGAAATGCTACTGTTAAACATTCACTCTGAATGCATTCAAACAAATATTTGTACTTCTGTTATACTGCAATTCACGGTACTCCGTTTGAATTGAGTTAAGCGAAAACATGGATTCAAAGAAATCAAACAGGCTTGCTGGAATAGTACCGTCAGCCATGCTGTTGTACATCTTATTTAGTGTAGTACTTGGATGATGGGAAACTCGGTGATATGGAGGCAAACCTTCTTAGTTTCTATTACTCTTAAGATTTAGCTGTAAGATCACATGATCCCAATTGCTATTGTCTAAAAAATATATATATGATTCAAAAACTAAACAAAAACTCAAGATTATTGCATTTAACTTTACGGACCTATGACTCGAACCCATAGTTTTGAGGGGTCATATCAAGTGATTTGTTATATATTATGAGAAGTCATTTTGTTTTAGGGAAATAATACACACACACACACATATATATATATAGGGATAATGAGGGAAAACACTTGAATCATAACTTCAAGAATAAAATAATTGTATAATAATAGCGAAAAATTCAAATTGTGATTGTGGGAATAATGAACATATATAATAATTCTGAAGATAAGAAATTTAGTAGTTAACAACTGATTATATAAAATTTATATTATAATTATAAGGACAACTCAATTATAAATTAAGTAAAATTAGTTGTAAACAGAAAATTATAGAAACACTTAAAATTATTTAGAGCAATCAACTGAAACAACAAAGCTGTCTTCCCTCTAGTCTTACACTACTAAATTAGGGATGGCTAGAAGATAACCCTCGTGTAGCTTTGCGCGAAATTCAAAACAAATAAACCTAATAAGAATTATTGATAAATTTTGCACCATTACTTTAAATACAGAGGCATAAACTACTGCTTGATGTTTATAACAAAAAATAATAATTCAAATTTGAATGTCTCACGTGGTTTAACCACACCCAGAATTTAAAAATATTTTTTTCTGTTTTTAAGCACAAAATTCTTTTAAATACAGAGGTGTGTGAACTATTGCCTGATGTTTATAAAAATAAATAACAATTCAAATTTAAATGTCCCAACCGCGAGTATCGAAGCCCGATTTTTAGCAATATAAGTCTACAGACTTACCAATGAGGAACTAAATTATTTGAAACGGTGGATTATTTCCACTATGAAGAATAAATGCAATAAAAATTTATAAAATACGAGTAAATTGAAATGATAAAATTTTAAAAACAATTAAAATTTCAAACATAGATGTTTTTCTTTCAACATTATTTTGTTCAAGAATATTAAAATTGGATCGTTGGTTCAGATTGTTATCTTATGAATGAATCAAACAGCTTTCACATTGTTAACTTTTATCCCATAAAAAATATTCTTATTTTTATTAGTCTGGAATTTCTACTGTTATTGTGGTCTGTCGTTAAGAATATTGATGTCAGTATGAGGAACCAATAGTGAATCTCACAGATACGTGTTGTAAAATTCTGTTGATTCTACGAAACAATATTACAATAAATAGAAAACAAATTCAGTTAAATTTTACTAAAAAAATTATTTTTATTTCTTGTTCTAAAAATTGGTTACCGAATAAATTATGCAAAGCTTATTATGATGTTAAAATATTTTGTGCATACACTGAAGTCAAGCAGTTAATTTTTATTAATTATAATAACCTTACCTTATGGATAAGATCGGGAAGTAGATAATTTATTTTTTCTTCTCAAAAGTAAAACTTTTCATTCCAATGTGCCTTTATCTTGTGATTTTTTTTATTGTCAAAACAGTTGTTTTAACATATTTCAAAAGTCTCCTGTTAGTTTCATGCTACTTACTTGATATATAATAAAAGCTTTAATAGCCTGTTAAAGACAAAAAGTCTTTTATTCAAACGCAATACAAAAATTATTTAAAGAATTATATCTCATAATAAAATACCCGTTACTTTCCGTAACAAACACGCTTAAAGATTCCAATTGAATACGTTTAAACCAACTGTACAAGACTATTGTTCTTATGCATCATATTTTTTATATACCACACTAGACAGAAATTAATGCAAATCCACTAGACTTTGGTAGGCCAAGACATACGTTTGATTATTTTACATTTGTATGTTAACTCTTATATATATATATATATATATATATATATTAGCTTCATCATAGCATTCTCTATAATTACCAAAAGCGTGTCGATTACTCAGATTCTTTTACAAGAAATAGTTCCCAGACTGTTTTTCTAGCGATATGTTCCATCTAGAATTTGTTTCAAAATGAACGACGTACTGGTTTCTAAAATCCTTAACAACATTTTTTATTCAGAAAAAACAATATGTGTATTTTAATCCTTTCCGTGGTTGTTGATGGTGTTTATTCAAACATTGTAAGAACCAAGAGTCGTTTGCAATTATAAACATCTTTACTGCATTAATGAATTTAATAAAATGTTTTTCTGGAGTATTTATATATATATAATCCACCTCAGATTATGTAGACATATATAGGCACTTATTTCTATATACAATAAACAAATCAAATACTATTCAACAATCGTAGAATGATTTTGCGTTGTCGACAGTAACCTGGTTCATAATTTTTAATCCTTACACAATTACCCAGAACTTGTGCTGCTTGGAAGTGATGTCCGGAAGATTGACAGAAAGTGGGCGTTACTTAAATTAATCACTGCTCTACTGAAATGGACTTCGTTGGCGACGCTACTACTTTTTGTTCAAAAAAAGAAAACGGGTCAGTAAAATATTGGTTTAAAGGGGAAAATGGACTTAGTCCAAAACTTGGAATGTGTGGTGGGAATTGAAAGTGAGACGTTGTTGTTGGGGAGTAATGAGGACTTGTTAAGAATATAGGACTTAAAGGATTCCAAAGTGGTAGAGAAATTAGAGGTGTTTTTCCTTGTGACAAAAACGGACTGCTAAAAGTGACTAAAGGAGTTTGCAAGGAATTAAATCCACTTACTGGGCTACATGGAATAGCTGATATGGGTGGTGGCTTGGGTTTAATTTTGGGAGTAGTAGTAGTAGCTGATGGAACAACTCTTGTAGAAGATATAGGCGGAGAACTAAATTTAGGTGATGGAAAATCGGTTGAACAGGAATCTGTATCAACTTCAATTTTTATCCGTTTAGCAGGTGACACGAAAGATGACCTACTTTCTTTGGGTTCCAGCTTCGAAATTTCGATCTCCTCATCCGATTGTTTCGTTCCAGTTTCTTCAGATCCGGTTCTTTGCTGGCTCGACAATCTTTGAACCACGGACGTTAACGTTTGTCTTTGGTGTGAAACGATAGACTTTAATGTTTGCCTTTGGTGTGAAACCACAGATGTTAATGTTTGTCTTTGGTGTGAAGATGAGTTCATGTACTTAATTTCTAGTTCGCTTTTTCTAGGCTGGACGTTTTCGCTGTGTTCTCTTAAGTCTAATGGTGGGATCTGCTGATGATTCCGTTGAACTCCAGAGGTAGACGATGTATACGCTGAAGACGGAATAAAACATGATTTATGTAAATCATGTTCGCTTGTTTTTGGTATAGTCTCTATCTTTATGGGAAAATGGATCCTGTGTTCGCTGTTTTTTACTATTTCAGGAAAAGATACAAAACGATAAACAAACTTCTGCCCCAACACTTTTTTGATGATATTTTTATCATAATAGTATCTAAGGGCTCGACTTAGTTTGTCGTAATTCATATTCAGCTTGTTCTTCCTTAGTCCCCACATGCGAGCAACCTCCTCTGCACTAACCAGTTTGAATTCACCTTCATTGTTGGTCCATGTTATGATGTGGTTATACTGATCACTCAATAAAAGCTCTAGCAAAAATTGCCACAAAGTGATATTTGTGTCCATATCTATAAGAGAAATAAAGAAAATATTTTATCGGTTTCATAATGTGGTTTCCTAAAAAACTAATTTTATCCTCATTTCTCTCGTAATGTTTTTGTTTACGTTGCATCAGTGTCTAAGGAATCACGCACTGTTATACTCAGTGTATCTCAAAAATAAAATAAAGTATCTATAAAGTGCGAGATAAAATGAGTTCTCAGAGAATTGTTTTAAACAGTTGTTTTCAAACAGAACCATCCTTTCCAAACAAACATAATTTTTAAAATAAAACCGGTTAAAATGTTTTATATATCTATAAATAACAATACATCAGAACTTTATCGTTTGAATGAAAAAAGGGGAATTTTGCTAATCAAAATCAGTCATCAAAATCAAATAAAAGTTGGCTTAAAATAGAAACATAAAGGTTGAAATACAGAATTTATTTCACTATCTTTTAATGACGAAATTCTAGAAACAATAGGAAACAGTATCAGCATAATAATATACTTCCATTAAAAACAAACAGTTGACAGACATGCAGTGCTCATTCACTAAATTTAATATCAAGTTAATGAGAGGAGGTTCGAAAAATCTTCAGATATACTACTGACTAGGTAAATATTTAAATCAATTATCACTCTTTACTTACGCATTATTATTTCATCAACTAAGTGGGTCACGCTCTTTCGTTTATATTAAACAAGATCTACACTTTTATCGTGCAATATACATTAAGACTTAATTGTTCTCTGTATATTTAAGCTTGATATCAGAAGAAACTGTACAAACAACCCATGTTTTCAATGAACAAAAAGGCTCGAAAATGATTTAAAAATCGGCATTATTCATTCTAGTGTTAACTTAAAAATCTATTGCATTGTATCTTACAAAAATAATATTACTCGGTGAAGTCTTTTCTGCAATTCTTAGAAATTATTATGAACTTATTTAAGGAAGTGACGTCATACGAAGCTTGGATGTATCGCCAGTTAAGGTTAGTGTTGAAGTCGCACAAATGAAGTGTCATTAATGACAAGTAAAACAATATTAAATATACATATGTAGCATTGCGCTGAACAATAGTCAAACCAAATCACCTGTTACAAACAGTGTTCGTTGATCCAGAGAGCATTAAACAAGTAAAAATATTAATAAGGATATCGGAAGTTAAGAGAGGAAAACAAAACGTTTTCATAAACTAACTTCCGCTCCTCGAACCAAATACGAGAAATATGTGATGATAAACACTTAATTAATGTGCATCGCATTTATTACGCTTAAAATCAGGTTTATAATTGACTATTTTGTCTTGCTTATAGGTCTGGATCACATCATGTTAGAGATCTTGAATTGACTACTTAGATTATAGGTCCAGATCACACCATGCTGGAGACTTGGAGTCGATTACCTTGTTTATAGGTCCAGATCACACCATGCTGGAGACTTGGAGTCGATTACCTTGTTTATAGGTTTATAACACCATACTGGAGATTTTAATTGCCTGTAGATCCAGATCAAACAATTCTGAAAAGTTAGAATTGATTACTTTGCCTACAGATCTAGATCACATGATGCTGGAGATTCGGAACTAATTACCTTGTGTATAGGTCCAGTTTACGCCATGCTGCTCTGTGTTAGGAAGTCTAAACAAAGGTCTATCGAGAAATTAACAAAGGCTCAGAGACACAATCTAGTGAAAGCACAAGTAGCTCTTATTAACTAGAACTAATATACATTTGAAAGCTAACTCCTGGGCACCCATGTTGTTCACACAGTTTACCAGTTCCGCTCTTATAATGTGATAGACAACTACCTCGGGCTACATTACGTTGCGCAGACAGGTGATGTCACGTGACATAAACCTCAGAGATGTAGTTCTGCAAGTCTGGCACCACTTCACAGCATGAAGGATTTGGAAGATTATGTTTAAAATATTATTACATCTGTGACTTTCACATTTACTTCCGCAAAGTGGCTACAGTTTTTGTTTGTTTGTTTTTTTAAACGTACAGTGCTCTAAAATAGAGGCCTACCGTGACAGTATTTCTAGATCTTCAAAATTAAACAACGTACAGATTTAACTTCCTATAGGAGAGAAGAGTTTCACATGAATGTCTGTTTACATACAAAACTTATGTATCGTTATACGATTACGGCCACACTATCGTCACATTATTAATTTTGAAAATGTATTTTAAAATAAAAGCAGAACTACAGAGCATATATTTAATATTTATATGTATACCATCTGTCTATCTGTGTGTGAATTACGTTCGAAGATTACATACACAGGATGACTATAAAATATTCTAATAACAAAACCTGCAAAGTGAAGACACATCCAGCTTATACTGAGTGATTACAAAGAAATCTCTATGTTTAGAATAAATATATCTTAAACATTAAAACAAAAGTTCACATTGAGAATCATAGTTTTATTCAATAAAGTTTAGACACGGTGCAAGGCATCTCAAACTAAATTATGTCTGACCGCTTCTTTTTTGAAAATATTCACTGCCTTTATTCTTCACTTTTTTCTCCCTGTTTCAATAATAAAGAGGTAGGTAATTTCAGTAAAATGCACTTCAGGATGCAGGATACTCCAATGATTATAGAATATTGTCCAGAACAGATGGTGTTTGTAGCAGCTGTATTGATACAGCTGTATTAGATTGACTGAGAATAATGAAAAGCTTGTTTAACACATTCTACGAGAATTTAATTTTTAAAACAATCGCGTCAAACGTTTCTTAATAGCATTTATCATTCTCGGCATGGGAAGTGTGGGTTACAAAAGACCCCCCCCGAACCTCAACTGCATTTTGATGTCATGGAAAATTAAATTTAGTGGCGCTATGATTTCATGTTCATTACCTTTTTCGTTTGCTAATGTGTTTTTCAATGTGACATGACCTTTGTTGTGGACTGCTACTGACTCACGGCTTCTGGAATGCAGAAACGACCCCCTCCCCCAAAAAAAACATTCCGGTGACGCCTCTGCTCAGTGTGCTCCTGATGGTGAACCTTTGTTCCACTAGGACAATTAGTTTTTAAGATATAATCATTTACAATAGAAATGTTTTTTATTTTCACACTGCACTTTATCGATGCACTGGATTCTCCGCTATAGAAGTGTTTTTATTATCCTTTTCTTACAACAGCTGGAGCTAAATGTTGAATTTCTAAATATTCTTGTCAATCTAAAATTACATTATTAACTATGTTATTCTAAGATTCGAGAAAGTAGTTCCTTTTATTTTTTCTGTACTGTTTCAGTACGTATGTCATATGCATTACGATAAAGTTTAAATTTTGAAAAAAAAAAAAATCTGAGCCTAAAACAGTGCAGATGTTGAATTTTCCAAAACTGAACTCTCCGGGTAATCGTCCAAATATTCCATTCTCCTCCCAGTTAAAAACAATGTAGGAAGAATAATTCGCGATATCCATGTAAATTTATCGCTTAAGAAAAAAGGAACAAACATATGACACAAGAACAAATATGATGTTTACTCTATTGATAGAGGTAACGATTCTTGTACAACCAGTTTAATCGATTACCAAGCAAACTATCATTATTTAGCCTTTAAATGTATCATTATATAATTACATCATAATCTTTCGGGCGAGATTACTTCTTCAGATATAGCTTAGCTATACACCCGGGAAAACGTTGTGTAGTTTTAAAAATATAATTTCAAATATTGTCAATCTCTGATCAACTTTCTTTATTATCCATGCTGTATAAACACAAATTGTAATCTTATGTATCATATAAGTTTAGGTTAAAGCTAAGAACAAAGCAACATAATGGGCTATCTGTGCTCTGCCCACCACGGGTATCGAAACCCGGATTTTAGCGTTGTAAGTCTGCAGACGTACCATTGTGCCACTCGGGGGGGGGGCAGTTTATAAAAGTGTTTTAGGTAAAAATTTGTTCCCAAGACATAAGATTTTCCTAAGAGTGTTTCACGAAAGGTTTCAAGCCTTAAGAATCTTCTTACTTTCTTTTACGACGGGTAAATAATAAGTGTTATATGATAGAACCAAACATGGCTGATACATAAAATATACATAGAATTATTATTTTTATGTTCACATAGATTGCACTCATATATTAAAATCGTTTTTAGGCAAAATATCTTTAAAACTTAAGACTAAAGAGAGAGAAAAAGTGAATGTTGTTAGACAAGGTTGAAAAAGACTCGCGGCTTCAAATGTATTCTTTAACTTAGTGTGTTTCAGATTATTACTTTTCTTAATTAACTAAAAGAAATTGCTCGAATAAATAAAAAGAAGGCTGCGTTACGTTCATGAAAACCAAGAACAAAGCGAGATTAATAAAAACTGTTTGCATTTTGTAAAAACATTACGTTTAACATAATTGACCATTCGATTTCGTTTTAAAGATCCGTATATTCCCGATACTATTTCAATCATTCTTAAATTAACCACAACATTATAAATAATTTAGGAAAGATCCAACGAGATTCTGAAGTTTTATCTTAGAAAAGAAATTAAGAAAAATCTTAAGTCGTTTTCGTGAAATTGAGCCGAGGAATGTGCGTTAATTTCCCCGAAAAGGGGCCTAAGGCCGCCTGGAGGAGTCACCTGTTCCAACCATTCGCACCACTATACAGTAATATGTTGTCTTTCAGTCAGTCAGTAGACAATAAAATTACGTCACCTAAGGGACACTTAACTTTGCAGTTTGTACTGTCGTGACGTCAGTAAGACGAGCGCATGTCATGAATCATGAGAGAACTATGGACTTTGTGGGCTACAACACAACGTGATATATGAATTTCAAAAGCAAGAAATAAAAATATTTGTTACTCTTAATTTTGGTTTTTATTCACTCTTGAAGTAGAACCCTTTCGGGGACCCTGCGGAAGCACATCTAATAATATAAATCTAAGATACAAAGAATTATTGTAATGCTTGTAACTCTCTCTGTTGACGATGCTAGTCCTCTCCATTTTCATGCAAACACAGCTACAAACATATCACACTGATTGACTTAACCATGTGGCTTAGTTGGCTCAAAATACGTGAAAAGTTCGTTATTCATAGCGATCATGTTAACAAGTGAAACAATTTTGTGACATTTACATTCTTTTTACATCTACTACTTTTTGAGAGAACAGAAGTAATGTTTTCTGTGGTTTTCTTTTTTCAAGCGATAAATTTACTGTTATATCACGACCGAAAACAGTACAATCATAGAAAGAGAAAGAAATTTCTAGTGACGCAACGTTTTATTAATTTATAAAATTTGTTTTCAGACGGATTTTTTTTTATTTCGCCATTCTAATCCGTGTAACCACGAGGCTTAGGTAGGAACAAAATTATATACGCTGATCAGTGAGGTTTCACAACTCTTATAATATAATAAGAGATGAAAACCCTAACATTTACATTACAATGGATTTGTTTGCGTTTAGTGGAAAGCTACACAATGGGCTATCTGTGCTTTGTCCACTGTAGAGAATCAAACCCTGTATCTTAGCGTTGTAACTCCGTAAACTTACCGCTGACTCAGCGGGAGACACGTTACAAGGAAAAATATCATTATATTTACAGATCATATAATGCTGCCAAATAAGTCGGGAATCGGTTTTTAATTTTCTGTTACGAAACACCAAAGTATTTCTTCTTCAACAGAACGCAATTCAATGCCCTATTTGTTTTCCCAGCTCCTTGACGCTCCAGCTCTCCAGAATTCAAAGTACCTAATTTCACGAACACTAATTTACTAGGAAAAGACAGTCGCGTTATTAATATCTGCATGAAGTTCCTGGAGCTCTTCACGCTCCTTAAAATATCATGCGATATGTTATATGCTGAAATCCTTATCAGCTTAAAAAAAAAGGGGGACATATATAAAAATGACACATTTAATCCCGCAAGTAACGTGACTTTATAGAAAAATCATGCAAGTTATTCTATTCAGTGGTATGAAAAACAATAAATCATAATTCACATTACACTACTTATTACTCTTATTGATCGGTATGAGTTGTTTAGAGATTGAGTAACTGTTTACATTAAAACCTTGTAATATTAGAATTAAATAAGTATTTTCTTACACTGTTTAACCACTCATATACAAAGGGCTCTTTTATGACATCACTTCCCTAGGTGGAGGTTTCTTCTGTGTTATAAAAAATATAACATTGCAGCTGAAAGTATCTTTAACAGAGAGAGCCTCAAACTGGTAATTCAGTGCACTCTAATCGTTAAGATTAAGTACTACTACCCAGTGGTTTTACAGGATAGGCTTCAGCTTATAACTTGCTTTGTTAGCTCTCATTTATTCAGCTTGCATACATTTGATTAGAAGTTATTAGTAATTAGTTGCTCTATGCAGTATATACGAAACGTTTGTCACACACGTTCCTTCTGCCTTACAAAAATTCTGTTTCAATCAACGGACTGCGGATGTTAAAATATAGCTTTTTTTTTCATCCAAATCCAAAATGAATTATTCGACCTCAATTTTTTAACCAAGGTCTTTTGAGTGAAACAGCTTGCTTAAAGAAATAGTGCTTATTAAGCAGAATTATTGTGTTAGCTTCTGTACTGCGTTATAAATTCGTTCATTCAAGTTATGCCTCTTCTCTTTAAACAGGCAAAGATATGAAAATATTTATTGCTTTTTGCACGTAACTTCAAACACCTGAGTTTCATAATAAAAGTTTAACATGAAGAGTTTGTGCGTATGTCTAAAGTTCTCGATGTATAATCAGACCTGAACACACCAAGACACCTGTTGTTATATGTAGATCTTTACCTAGCTCTCAAAGCACCTACACAAACGTAAAATGATAATAGAAAAATGTGATAATTTCACTAATCTCAAGCCACCTACTTCGTACGACGCTAAAATTGGGGTTCGTTGTCTTTGGCTGTTCTTCAGTCAGATCTTTAGAGAGGTCCGTACAGTCAGGGTCGTCACTTGATTCTAAAACGGAATGTTTATAGTATTTTAGTATTGTTAGAAACCGAATCAACAAATCTGTACACTCATTTCGCTCAGACAGGAAAATAAGCTAAGAAATAAGTATTTCATTCAAAAATACTACATTCAAACTGACAATTGAGCTACAGAACAATGACGCAAATGAGTGTAGACTTTTGTTTCAACTTTGGGTTATAATATTGTACAAAAACAGGTAACTTTCATCCTTGAAATATCATGCATCATCTAAAAAGCTAATATTATGGTATGGTACTTAAACCATGTGATAAGACAGTATACCAGTATTAGATGAAATCGGTCTTATCGGACATTTTCTTTATATACTTTAGGTAACACAGAGTTTGCTCATTAAAAACAGCCATAAAGAATAGTGTCCGATAAGACCAACTGTGTCTAATATTGAAGCATATAATGAAGATTCGACAGCTTTTCCTGCTGGAAAGGATAGTGGGTTATTACTAGGTTATAACCTGTACTTTACATGTGCTACGTTATGTGGGTTGTTACTAGGCTATAACCTGTACTTTACGATATGCTACGTTATGTGGGGTGTTATTGAACTATAACTCTAGCCTTACGATATGCCACATTATGTGGATTATTTAATATAATCTAAAACTACCTACTCTCTTTATACACATATTGATATCATTTTTGTTAGCGTTTTAGTGACAGTTCAGGAATAAAAATATAAACAAGATAACCGAAGGATTTTAATTTGAGTGTTGTTAATATCAACTTCCAATCAGAGCAAGCCACCTACTTAGATCAAAAATAAAAATCAACCAAGTAATGAATATAAACACTTAATTACATTGCTGCTACGCTCTGAATATAATCAATTAATTACATTGCTGTTACGCTCGGAATATAATAAATTAATTACATTGCTGTTACGCTCGGAATATAATCAATTAATTATATTGCTGTTACGTTCGGAATATAATCAATTAATTACATTGCTGTTACGTTCGGAATATAATCAATTAATTACATTGCTGTTACGTTCGGAATATAATCAATTAATTACATTGCTGTTACATTCGGAATATAATCAATTAAATACATTGCTATTACGTTCGGAATATAATCAATTAAATACATTGCTATTACGTTCGGAATATAATCAATTAAATACATTGCTATTACGTTCGGAATATAATCAATTAATTACATTGCTGTTGCGTTCTGAATATAATCAATTAATTACATTGCTGTTGCGTTCTGAATATAATCAATTAATTACACTGTTGTTACGTTCGGAATATAATCAATTAATTACATTGCTAGTGCGTTCGGAATATAATCAATTAATTACACTGTTGCTACGTTCTTACTTATAAAGATTAAAATGTATTTTTGGATATCCTAGCTGTAAGCGATATTTTTGGCCCAAAATCCAAATCTCACGATATTCAGCCAAATAGAAAATTTAAATCAATCCTAAGCTCATACAGTAAATAAACAATGTAAAATAATCTTTATAACAAAACTAAAAATAATAAAAATAAATATATTAAAGTTGCTAAAAAAACAGGAATAACACATCAGCATAATAATGTACAACTGATTAAAGGAATTAAAAAAACACAAATAACCCGTCTAGTTTCGACAGACCAATCTTGTCATTCTAAAATGATAGAATCATTTTTTTATTTCTTAGTTAATTGAGTATTGTTATGCTGTAGTGTTATTGCACAAATAACCAATACTCTTAACGAAAGTAACACTAAAGAAAGAATAGTGTAAGCCATCAACAGTTTTTATCCAATTACTTGGATGCCCTCCAGTGGCACAGCGGTATGTCTGCGGACTTACAACACTGGAAACCGGGTTTCGATATCCATGGTAGACAGAGCACAGATAGCCCATTGTGTAGTTTTGTGCTTAATTATAAACAAACAATTACTTGGATATTAACACGTTTCAGTAACTTATATCAAAGTTTGTACATTATCTTGCTAATAATGTCAGTAATCGAATTGAAAACGCCCATGTCAACAACGTTTTTACTGATGTCAGTTAAACTAGCATCGTGTACATATAATAATGATAATAAAAACACATAACGATGATTATAAAAACCCTAGAAATGGGGTAACTAATATTGTTTATTGTTCGATTAGATATCGGTAAAATTACATGATAAAAACCGTAGAAACGGGGTAACTAAGATCGTTTATTGTTTGAATAGATGTTGGTAAAATTACATGATAAAAACTCTAGAAACCGGGTAACTAAGATCGTTTATTGTTTGAATAGATGTTGGTAAAATTACATGATAAAAACCCTAGAAACGGGGTAACTAAGGTTATTTATTGTTCGATTAGATATTGTTAAAATTACATGATAAAAACCGTAGAAACGGGGTAACTAAGGTTATGTATTGTTCGATTAGATGTAAAATTACATAAATTGAGCAGTTTGTTTACCTATGAAGGTCCTCATCGGTTTCTCGGCTTGTTGCTCGTAGTTATGGATCACACAGCTCAGAACTTCTTAAATATAAGCGGTATTTATTTTTTAAACCTTTGTATTTCGTTAACTTACACAATGGATACAAATCACCATAACTGAACAAGGTAACAAAAGCACGTGCAACGGTTTTCACAATTAACAAGTCAGGCGTAGTCATCCAATTAAACAAGTCCGCGTGCCCTGAACACTGAAGTATATAAGACGCGAGCGTTTCTGTCCCACCGTATTTATTCTATGTAATGCAAACTTCTCATTTAGTACAGTCTCGCAATTTCTGAGAAATGCGCAAGACGGTGACGTGTTACCCCACCTGAACAGTTTAGTGGTAAACTCACACTTACGTCAGTCAACGAATACCTGCCTCACCTGAAGAAAACACGCGACCTTGTGGCGTCCCAGTACAGCTTGGGGACACGTAGCATAACTGGCAGGTTGGCACCACAACCCTCCCCCCCCCTCTCCTCTCCCACAGCGACCGTTCGAGTGTACGTGGTAGAGGAAAGCGACCCAAAATGGCAGCAAGAAGGTTCGCCATATTTTTCTGTTACATTACAGTACAGATTTGAACTGGCGAACCGAAATCGAAAATATGCTAACGTAAGCTTATCTTTCAATAAAGATTATTTTGTTTTCTACACTGGGAGAAAAATTAAGCTGAAAATACAAAGATTTTAAAACCGCATTAATGAGCCTTTTATTACTACAAAACATACAACTGTAGATAAAATTAATTTACTTAAAACCTATATTCGTCATTATATTTCGATAATATTCATGGAATTAATAAGTACTGAATGCCTTTACAAGACTAAATTAGACATTTTTATCCAAAATCATAAAATAAGGATTTGAATAGGTCTCTCATCAGAAGATTTGTTTGCTTTAGAACAAAGTCACATTGGGGTATCTGTTGTGTCTACCGCGGGGAATAAAACCCAGGATTGTAGTGTTGTAAGTCTGTAGACTTACCACGGTCCCACTAGGGGGGACACAATCAGAAGGACAGGAAACTACTAAACTTTTACGAGTATTATTTAGCTATTCCAAACCAAGCTTAGGGTACACAAATCAAAGAGCGTTAATCACTATAACTGATCGACAAGTGCATCTGGTAGACAAAAAACTATTAAACGTTTGTGGGTAATCTTTATTACTGTACCTGTTTTTGTTTTGTTTTTCATTCCAAAGAAAACTCTGAATATATATACAAAAACATCTACAAGTGCATTGAGTGAATCTTTTAAATGCACTAAAATAAAACAATGTAAGGAAACAACAAAGTTACTGTCTTCCTGAAGCTAAGCTAAGCTTTTTGCCAAATCATGAGAATAAAAATACGAGGTTTTACATGTTAAATTTGCTTTTATCTATAAACATGAAAATCTGATCAAACGTGATTTTAATATGAAAATAAAATAAAATATTAAAGTAACAGTTAACTTTATTTGATGTTATTTTGATACCTTATCTTTCTAAGATAATTCAAAGGCTCTGAAATATAATTAAGTAGATTTTGTTTTTAATTACTTTGAAGTTTGTTAAAATGTTATCCAAAATATAATAATATTTTCAGTGTCAAACACTGTATATGGCCTATGAATCAAACCAAAACATCTGAAATAGTTCTTCAAACACAGGTTAATATTCGCATTTGGTGAAAGTGAATCATTATATCTTACATAAGTATGGGCAATGAAAGAAAATCACTTTGTATAATTTTGACAAAAGTTCCCTTTATTTCCTCATGTTTCTCACTGGGCCATGCAGTTCCACGCTTTGTCAATTTCTAAAGATATACGAAGCTGTAAAAGTCACAAAGTATAAATTTCATATTTTATCTAACGTTTCATATCGAGTAAAAAATCATTCACCGATCTTTTGAATTAGTTTGTCTTTATTCAAATTAGTTGAGTCATAAAATGTCTTTAGTTTTACAATAGTTTTTTTATTACTATGTTATTCGCTATGATCAGACAAATGTGTAATATGTTTTAAATCTTATGGAACTTTTAATCAGTAGTGTTAGAAGGGGGGTTTATCAATTCCTTAGGAATCGAAACCCAATATCCCATTAAAGACTGAATTTTGATCAAAGATGAATAAACACTTCTTCGTTTTTATATATTTTGAATTCACCAATAAAAAAAAAGTGTGGTGCGCAAAACTAAGAGTTTTTGGACAACAATAACTTAGTTTTTTTTTTTCAAATGTATGATATATCATACAGTAATCTTTTGGAGGATCAAAGTAGGGTTGAGTAAATATGTTTGAGGTTTTAGGGGGAAAAAAGTCAGACTGAAAAACATCTTCATTTTTTAAGTTTTCTTTTCATGAAAAATAATTACATTTTCCAGTATTTTTTATTTAGTGTTGGATATTGAAAAAGTACAGTTCCTGCATACTCAACTGTGGAACACAGAATCCAAGCTCACATATACACTCTTTAGTATATTTAGAAACCTTCAGTAGCATTATACCAGATTAAACTTATTCCAACATATCATACTTATATTTAAGAAAACAATACAACTTATCTAAACAAGAACAAGATACATACTTTTAACTCACTTTTACTTAGTTATTCTTACCAATACAAGTTGAATCCCTAAAGTTAAGAAATGAGTAATGTGTATTGTATGAGATAAAGTGGTACTTGTGAGTTTTCTGCATACCACAAAGATTTGTGTGTTATTCCACAAAACAGTTAGTGTGAAGATCAATCTGGCATTTAAGGCAGATATACCTGGCATAACAGCATTGTATTGAGTATGGTGCAGGCCAGTGCTTTTACCATCTGTATGGACTTCTTGCAGCACTTGACCTCCCTTTGTGGGACAAACACCCCTAGATCTTGGAAACTGAGGAGCAGTCAAAACTGAAATAATTATTTGTCTAGTATATTAAAGCAGAGGTATACACTCTATATGTATATACAACAACCAGGTATTTATAATAACACTATTTAGACCAAATAGCACTATTTGCCATTAGTATTTGTTACTTTAGATCTCTACATAGTACCTTGCACGATTTTAGTCAAAGACGTCTACTCCACCCATTCTTTTATTGTACTTTCCATCTTGTCTTTTGATGCTGCACTAAAATGCTTGCAAGTTGTTTTTGGAAAGAACCAAATTATCAGTACATTTAATGTCAATAGTGACCTGTTTGCTGCAGCTTTGTCCTACAGAACATCAGAATAACCCCTGTTTTCCATTTTAGTTCCATCAGTAGAGCATTCTTTAGATAATCAGATCAGATACTTCCAGTAATTTTGATGATGTGAGACTGTCGTTGTTATAGTAAGGGCAGTGATGTAAAGTAACTGTTAGCAAATCCTATCAATGTGGTGGTACAGAGTAAACAACCGTTTTTGGATAACCGAGCTTCCAAGATTGACACCTTCTTCTCATTGCTTTTTTGCCTTCATACAGTTTGAAATTCATGCAGTAATCTCTTGAAATACAGAGACACTAGAACTTTAATACATATTTTATTGGCTTTCCTCAAATATATTGCTTCAACTAGTGGTGACCAAAATAAGCTTCTTTAGTCTCATCGAAGCTCCAAGTGTTTGGAGATGGGATGACAGAAGAACTGGAACTTATTGTTGAGATGCTCTAACAAAGATCTTACATTATATGATCCATCATCGGGAATAAGGAAAGTATTATAATAAAATGCGGACATATAAGATTCTCGAGAATATACCTCTGGACTTAGCATTAGCAACCGTAGAAATGTTCTCGTCAAACTCACCTGCCCAATATAATTTTTATTTAACAGCTGTACAGGTCTTCCACAGTCACACTGAATATCAGATCTGAATATTGATAAACATAATGAAGAGACTCCTCACGAAAGCACCAGCTGTTCATCCCAAAACATCTGAAACATCACCAGTCAATAATTTTGTGACAATAGCTAGAGGAATGTCATCCAATGAATGTTTATGAACAGCATCACGTGGAGCTTTTTTGTAAAGTTTCTGTCTCTACAACACATAATCAGGTTTTGCTGCATGAACATTTGCTGTTTTTCAGTCTTTTTTAAAGGCTCTGCAGCAGTAGATGTATAAGGCCTTGGAACTTTGGTGTCTTATTGAACAAATACCTGGGAGCTGGTGACTGAAAAGGAAAACACAGAACTTAGAAACATTTAACAATTAATATTGTTTTATAGATCCAAATTATAATCATTAAGAAACTAAAATGAAAAAATAAAAAATAAAAATGTGTACAAACGGTAGTTAGAACTTAGTTCATAATATCCACGTTCTTTCATCTGCAAAGTAATTTCTGCCGATTGGGCAAAGGTTTTCTTTCCAAGATAGTGGGGGTCGTTTTCTGTAATCTCTGATACCTTAACTGGTGCATTATCTCCATCAGGGTCCATTTCTCCAGCAATGGGTACAAGTAAAACATCAACAGTGTTAGAGCAATATTGTTTGGCAAACTATACAAGCTAATTGAGTGCCTCCTCAGTGCTCCAAACTATTCTATTGGAAAACAGCCATATTGGATAACATACCCTTTAAAACACCTATAGCTGTTATAAGGATAATAGCATAAAAGTAACCAGTAGATATGAAAAAGGCAGCTACTTAAGTAAAGGTGCTTGAAAACTAAGGCCAATTGTACACCTGGAAAGACTATCTTATGAAATTTCATACAATACTTTTTAAATTTCTTTATCTCAACAACAAGTAAATTAGGAGGCACCGAATTTTTCCCGAAGTACCCTACAGTTCTGTTCATTATAGTAACAACGTTTAATTTTTATAATTCTAATAACTAAAAAGCTATTTATAAATATTACCTTCAGTCCAAGATCAGATACTACCTGGATGCCATGGTCAACAAATTCCCTTGATGCTGTAAAATAGAAAACTAAATAAGATCTGTAGCAGTGTAAGTTACCTTTCCAATAAAAATATTTTCCATACGCCATCAAATATAAATTTGGGATAACCTCAAACTTGGTCTATTTTGTGTATGATATATCATACGATAATCCTTCGTGGGATAATGAAAGAAGAGTTTGAAGCTGGAACCACGTCAAGAAAGGCCAAGAAGGAAGGTCAACTGGATGAAAGAGGAAAGAGATTAAGTTTCGTGTTTTTTTTTATTATTATTATTTTGCTTGCTTTGCTTTTGGTGGTTGTTCACTTAATTTTTACTCTTTATAAGTTGTATGATTCATTGTTTAAGATTAGAGAATTAACGTTAGTATGGATAAGAATTGGAAATCACTGACAAAAAGTCAGATGGTAAATAAGTGTAGATAACTGGGTATAACATGTACTAGTAATTGAAAGAAAATATGAATTACAAGAAATTTTAATTAAAGCGGGAGTCACAATAGATGATTTTTTCTAACCTTGAGCTTAGGGAAAATGTGGAAAATGCG